AGAAGGAGAAGTAGCATATACTGTATTCCTTTATTCTGCAATGGACTTCCCAAAAAAATCATGCTCCATAATGCTTGTGTGTGAGAGACAAAGGTAGGAAAAAAAAAGGATTTTCCTTTCAAGAAAGGTGACTTGTGTGTGCTAGGACAGTGGGGAAGTACACGGATGTGATAAAAAACAGCTCACACCTATTATTATTATTATTATTATTATTATTATTATTATTATTATTATTGCTGCTGCTGCTGCTGCTGCTGCTGCTGCTACTACTACTACTACTGCTATTACTACTATATGAAAAAGAGGGTCAGCCCAGCTGCCCTACATGCCAGACTTATGACTACCAGAAGATTTACTTCTACTGAAATAAGTAAATTTGAGTAAACTTTTAAATCCTGAATATAAACGTGCATAGATTGCACCACGTTTGTATCATAGAGCTGAACACCCTATTGCACTAAGTAGAAACTTTCCACTCCAACATATCTGACTCAACTTTTCCCTGTGAGAATAACCATACTGTAGTGGCTCACAGAGGGTGCGATAGATTGGGTGATGCCTCTTTTCAGGCTGCTACAGTACTGAAGGTCTGGGCTGAACTGGGCAGTGTGATAGCCAGTTCGAGTGGCCATTCTGTATAGAAGAATAATAGGATTCAACAGAAAGGGAAGAATGAGATCCATTCAGATCAATGATTAGAACAAGTAGGGGAAATTCTGAGGAGGCAAAGTTGTTTAGCACCTTCTTTCACAGACAAGTTTTTCAAACCAAACAACCAATCTTCTAAGTTTTATAGGGCCGCAAAGTTCCAGTTGATTCCAAAAGTACCTAGTACGGCTGTGCTGACCAGGTTATAATACAATCTCTGTGATGGCACAACAGAAATCAAAATGGCCTGTCCCTCTTCCTGAGAGCTGCTCTGTTGTTGTAGGAATGAGGCATCCATCTTCCAGGTTCTGGTCCCTTTATACCAAACAAGGAAAAACATCCCATTTTAAAATCAAAATAACATTTTTGAAGTAACTTTTTCTCATTTTCATTCACTTCTGGTTCGCCATAACCAGGAGAAAAGGGCTGTGGATAATTCACCTATTTGTACTTCTTATCCATGAATGGTGGACCTTTCTTTGAAAAACTTTATTTTAAAAGTAGGTCTTTAATTGGCACAGTTCTGTGTTATTTGGGCAAGAAACTAAAGCTTGGCTATCTCACAAGAATGACTACAAGTATCATTAAGATAACAATAAAAAGCTTTGAATTCTCTGAAAGCTACATCAATGCCACTTATTATGGCCAGAGAAGGTCCAGAAGGGAGATAGGTTGACCTCTGTATCAGCTGGTATCAATGATTGGCATTTTTACATTGGCATCCTCATACAGAGTGGGCTATTGAGCCAAGGAAAATGCATTTTTCTGCAGTTCCTTGCTGTTCTGTTTACTTGATCTATCCAGAGGGAACAAGATCAGCAACTGCCTTGCCTCTCCTTGCAGACAGTGCTGCAGATTAGAAAGATTTTGCCTGTTAAGCATGGGAATGTGGGAAAGCACTCCTAGCTACTGTTGATTTGACAATGGAGATGCAGTAAGTGAATTTAAGATCATCACAAAAAAGGACTCCAAGGTCTGAATTAAAGGAGAATCTTGTGCATACCCAAGAACACAATTTACACAATCACTTCTCAACTGGGTCATCCTTCTAATCCCAACAGAGTACAAATGGAACACAGGAATTCACATTTGATTATGGATAGTTAACTCTAGATTACAAAAAAAGAGTGATCCACTCTCTGAAACCAGAAGCACCAGATTGTATCAGTAACCAGTTCTTCACTGCCTTTGGTTCAGAGCTGTGATGGGTTTTGACTAAGCATTTTTCCTTAAACTTTGTAATGGCGATCTGCATAGGCACCAGATCAGAGCTGCAAATGTCTGGATGACCACTGCACAGATGCAAGAAGATACTGAAAACTCTTTATTTCCATTTACTGGTCATCTGGTTATTTACTGCCCACACATGGTCATCCTAAGCCTGTAGCCCCTGGGTGGACATAGACCTTGCCTGCAGGCACTGGAGACCACCCACTCAATGCATTGCTGAATGTGATACAGTGGCTAAACAGCGATAGCTGTTGTCATCATTTTAAGGTGGGAAATATACTGTACACTTAACATAGTTTAGAATCTGACGAACCACAAATACTTTCAATCCTTCATCCACTATAGTTGGGGATGGGGGATTATACTGGGTTTCACTCAGAAGCGTAACATGTTCTGCCACTTTGCATCATCACCATGCCAATGGCAGTTCACCATCTCCCCCTCATCCCCTAAAATCTGCAGATCCCATCCACCAAACGTTTCCCACCTGTGCATGGTTGTAAAATAAACACGCCAACACATTCATCAGCAAAGTTGAAAGACAACTTGGGAGAGAGAGTCAGTTAGAAGGAGTAAGGCCTGCTGCTATTGGCTGAACTCCTGTCTATTTTTTTCAGGAGCAGCCTCCTGATTTCAGTATGCATGCATGCATGCATTCAATTTAGAGGCTGCCCAATTCTAGCTGACTCTGGGTAGTTTATATTAAAAAGTAACACTTTTTTTTAAAAAAAGAAACAGATAATAAGCAGCCAGAAGACAGACTCTACCAATAAAACAATCTACAGGGACTCAATCATTACTCTGCCCCAAGGTCTGTAGAACAGCCAGGTTTTCAATGACTTCCTGAATGTCATCAGGGTAGGAGCCATAAGGATCTCTGGGGGGATGCTGTTCCCCCAGGCCCCAGTAGATGACACTTGGTTCCCTTTATTGAACGGACCTGAAATGAACCCACTCTGCCTAGATATAGGAGGTCCCTCAAATAGCCGAGCCCTACGCCATGAATGTCTTTATAGGTGATAACCAACACCTTGAATTGCACCCAGAAGTCCATTGCAACCAGGGCGGCTCGCAATCCATGATCCATTTCCATCTTTGATCCATTCGGAGAGCAGAGCAGTTATAAAATGCAAATAGTTCAAAGGAAATAGCTTCTATTTTTCTTTTTCAGTGGAGCAATTATGATAAAGGACCTGTTCCATACTTAAAGATGTATTTAAATTAGCATGTGACCCTCTGACATTGTTGCAGGTCATTTGTTATTTGGAAAGAAAGCACTACCTTCCCTGTTATTGACTGGCAACGTTATTAAGAGTGGGGAACATTTAAAATGTCATCCTGGTGCATTTCCTCTTCATCAAAATCAAATAGCAAGATATCCCACTGCAATTCTAAGCTCTAGAGAAATTGATTTTCCTGTCAAGCAAAAAGGTGTAACATGACAGTACCCTGATAGATAAAATGAAAGATGCATGAAGAGGTGTTTCATTCCAACAGGGTTCATGAACTGTGTCCTTGTGCTGAGATCTCATTCAGTTCTGGATGACAAAAACCCAGCAGGTTGGTTCTTGAACTTGAATTTTAGGTACCAGCAGCCACTCCTGTCAAAGATCAAAAAGAATGCTCTCCTTCCCAGTGTGTCAAATGTCCTTGAAATAAGCTAGCAGCATACAATACTTAAATAGAAAGCATAGAGAAATATTGAACAAGCCCTTGTACCAGTGCAGTTGGATATCAGGGCATGTAGAATTGCTTTATTTATTACTGATTTTACTCAAGTTCTAACTGGGGGAGATATATTACAAGCTCTGGAACCAAGGGCTTGATCCTCTAATCCACTGCAATGAGATACAAAGGCAGAGGATTGCATGCATTTTGTGTTTATTTATTTATTTTTCAAATTTGTATGCCGCCCATCTCCCCCAATGGGAGTGTTACCGTTCTGGCAGTGTGCTTCAGTTATTCAGTGTTACAATCATGTTGCTTGGGCTTCTTCTCACAAACTGAGATTGTGGTCAAAAATCAGAAATGAGAACTTGAGAACTTTACAATGATGCATGATGTGAAAAGCCAACATCAAGGAAAGCATAGAAAATGCATTGCCTTATTTGAAACCAAAACATCTGGATCTTTTCTGTTCTTGGGTCACAATGAGTTAGGAACTTCAAAAGTCCTTCAAGGGGGCCAAACAGAGTTGGGATCTGTACAAGCATCTGGGATTTTTTTAATGAAGATAACGGGATGGTTAAATTGTCAATATTACTGTTTATTAATACACAATAAAGTTACAATTATATATAACAAAAGTAGTAATAGTTTTGCTCTCTGTTATGATATCTTTTCTTCTTCCATGCCACCTGATTTTTTTTCTTGTTTGTTTGAACATGGGATACAACACTGCTAACCATAGACAAATTAGTAGTGTTTTGTGAAAAATAATTCTTCAGGATAACAACCCTGAGTCAAAGTTGCTACCCTGTCATTCACAATACTAAATAAACCTCTTTAGCTTTCTGAAACATATGTTTAAAATGTATACTTGATTCTTAACCAAATACTGTAAATGTGGATATTCTTGATGTAACATGGATACATGAAAATTTTTTCCTGACAATGAAACTGAAGTCCATTATCTGTCATGACATTTAATGCTATGCTATCTCCTGTAAAAGCAGCTTTTATACTATCAACTAAAAGTAATATTCAGACTACACTAATAGTAGTTGAACTATATAACTAACCTGTTTCTGGATAATGAGAATAAAAACTAGTCAATATTGTCACCTATCATATTTAGTCATTAACATGAACCTGACCCATATCTAAGAAATGGCTTCATTCTAAGAAATGACTAGGACAAAACATCAGCTAGGACTACCTTATTTCCAGGATGATAATGCAGCTGAAAAAAAAAAACCTTTATAAATACAGAGGTATATCTGCCAGATATTCCTTTTTAAATACCAAATTTATGATTTATTATCATTTTCAATTACATTCAGAAAAAACTGCTATTTTCTGAGCTTCTGACTTATCAGTCAGCTGACTGCCTATCAGAAATATCTGCAGTTACTGCTTAAACATTTGCCAGTCCACAGCAGCCTTATTTATACAAGATAATAAAAGGGTAAAGGATTTTCAAATATTCCATTTTTAATATCATATATTTACTCTTGTCAGCAAATTTCACTTCAGGTACCATCTTAAAAATCCAGTTTTCATTAAGGTCAACTGGATCACTTAATAGTAATAGTATTATATATTTAATAAATAATAATATTGCTATTTGCAGCTGTTCATCTTTTAAGTATCAGTCACAGCCTGCAGCTGATTTTGGACAAACCCTATCCTAACTCAAAATTAGTTTAATAAAATCTGTTAGTCAGGAAAGATGTTTCCAGACCACCACCACCACCACCACCACTCCTCCTCCTCTTCTTCTTCTTCCTCCTCCTCCCCCGCCATACATGAATACGTCTCTCCTCCTACAATGATTTATAACATTCACTAAAGTTCACTGGATTCATTTGAGATGTTCCCAGTTAGGAGTCTAGGAAAGGAGCTCTTTCCAAAAAATGTAATGATGCAGTGCATTCTATCATATCATCAGAAGGCACAGGTAGTATCAAAACAATCATTTTGTTGTTGTTGTCAGTAATACAATGGTTGTATTATGAGGAAGAAGAGGAAATAATTACTTTTGGAGTCAGGAAGAAAGTGGAATAAACGTGGGAAGTGAATATGTTCCACCCTTGATTTATAGCCTCTTGCTGCGATTAGTAGTAACATGCAAGGCCTATATCTTCTCCAGTGATACATAGATACCTTTGGAGGATAGGAAAGAGGGATGAGGAGTAACTGTTGGAAAATTTGGAAGAGTTATAGCTGGGAATCCTGTCCTCTCAGCTTTTCAAGATATGTATTTAACTGGAGTCAAAGGAAATGAGGTTGTTTTTTTTTTAAAAAAAGCCATATGTTTATTGTTAAAATATTGAAATTCAAAGAAAGTAGAGAAAAGCACATATTGAAATACAAAGAAAGTAAAAGGAAAAAGGCAAGATGATATAAAAAAATTCTGCTACATTTAAATTAAAAAAAGCATAGTGAAAAAAAAAAGTTAATTACTTTTTAGTGGTACGTCCTTCCTTTCCCTTCCATATGTATCCTCAACCACTAGCCACAGTTTAGATATTTGAACTTTGCATCAAACAAAGAAACTAATTGCAGTTAGTTTCTATTTGAGTCCTAAAGACCATGTGCCAGATGTCTAAATCTGCTGTGCTCTGGGTATATAAGGAAGCCATTTCTGCTTGAATTTAGTTAAACTTTTATTGTGGATATCTATTGTCAATTTTGCCATTGCAAAATGAGAAGATTTATATGTGGATTGTATAGAAAGAGAAAATGAGCATTTAGGCAAGCCATGGAACTTAGACTCAGAAAGTAGTATGGAAGTATGTCCAATAATGCATCTACCTTATTATAAAGTGAAAGAGAATCCTAAAATACATTCTGTTACAGGTCTTATCTTCCCCTTTAGAATATTCATAATCATGGTTCAATGATTGACTATCTCAGCAGATCACAGCATCTGCCTTTGTCTGAACTCAGTAGCTAGGCAGGGCTGGGTCTATTAACATTTGGATGGGAGACCACTAGGGAATCCCAGAACTGTAATGAGGCTGCACATTTTAAAAATATCCTGGAAAAGGCCATGGCAAACTACTTTTATATAACTGAAACTACTGTCACATAATTACTACTTTGATATGAAATGTAGCAGTCCTTTCTAATGTTATATTCAATTTTGGATGAAAAGTTAAATAATTTTACGCTTGTAATACTGACATCCTAAAATACTATTAATATTGATAGAATTTTTACTTTTTTCTTATTATTTTCAATACTTTAAGCTTTCTAAACAATAGAATGTCCTTAATTTATAATCATATTACATAAATATTATTGCATTGAAATCTGCATTGAAACAGTACAATGTATCAAGATTTATAACATTACAATAAAAGGGAAAAACAAAAGGGAAAAAAAAAGAAGGAAGCTACCTGGACATAACCATGAGGCCCCAACCCTATCTGCTTCTCATCAAGCCTTAAAGATCTGGCTTTTCGCCCAAGCATTGAGCCAGAAAGATTTATGATCCTGTTCAGTATTATTGATTGTTGGATTGTCTTGGCAGAACTTTTGTATTAGCTTTTACCATGCTTTATAGCTTATGACAGTTTATTTTTGTTCTCTTTGTTTTTTAATAGTATACTGCCTTGAGTCATTTTGAGAAGGCAGAATACATCAATTAAATAAATCAAAGAAATAAAGCCAAACTCAACTTGAAAAAGTCTTATCTTTTACTAGAGTTTGACTGTGTCCTGCTCAGTGTCCTTCAGCAATCTTCTGCTCTTCTCCAAACATTCACTGAATGTGTGGACAACAGAAGACTCCATCTCTACATTGGAGGGTTTGTTTGTAATGTATCTTATAATAAACATGTCAGAGCTGGAGTGTTATAGGTATACATGTGAACTTTTTTGAGAGCAGGAATTTAACCTGAACAATGATCAGTGAAGCAGATTTATAATTAATAGCAGCAAAGAAAACTATTTACAGGGAATAATTTTAGGGATAGGCAAAGCCTAGCACTAGCTAGCCACATCCTACTGGGAGGACAGTCAAAAAAGTGTTTGTGTGGTATGCATGCACCTGGAAAGAAAGGAGAAGGAAGTGATGTCAGATGAACAATCTCTTAAGAGGCAGAGTGATAGTCAAAGTGGGACACACAGTAAAATATTTTTTTCCTGTTTTGTAATGTTGCAAATCATGATGGATTGTATTATTTCAAAGCAGGTTTCAATGCAGTAGAACATGTTCAATGTTTAGATAATATGATTAAAAGTTATTATCATTCTATTATTCAAAAAGCTTAAAGTATTGAAAATAAAAGAGATGTAAACCTTCTATCCATATTGATTGCCAGTATACAGTATATGCCAGTATACAGTGGAAGCATAAGATTATTTAACTTTTCATCCGAAGTTGAATATAAGATAAGAAAGAACCACTGCAATTCACAACAAAGTATTAGTTATGTGATAATAGTTTCAGTCTTGAACTAATTAGTTAATATTAAGATCTTAGTATGTTGGTATGTTGATTAAAGGAAATAGAGAATAGATGAAGCAAATTTAACAAAAGTTAAAATACTTGAAGGTTAAAATACCTGAAGAAGTGCTTTTCATTGCATAGTTTGAGGTGGAACTGGAACTTGCCATCATCTTCAGATACAAGAAAAGCACTATCAAGAGGATTAAAGTTATGTGGTCTAGTTTACTAAACTATTCCCCAGGGAAGACTTAATTCTGTTTTCCAATTCATTCAAGATTTCAGTTCAAGCCAAAAGTTAACTAAGAGTAAATAAGATAGAGGATCCATTTTCTGCCACTTAAAGGTTAGAAGGTGACATCAGAGCAGAATAAATAAAGCTAGCACTGCAATATAGGTTTTAAGGGGTTGCAAGATTTCAGCCTGTGCTTAAGCACTTGCTTTTGAGTAGGCATATACAGTATGTAGGCATATACACTACAGTAGGCATATACACTGCCACTCGTGCTACTTTGCCTTAATACAGAGCAAAATGAAGTATTTTATTTAAAGAAAAAAACACAATGCTATCTTAACAGCCACATTTTTATTAAGTTCCTCCAACATTCCTTGGTGGGGGATTGGTGTGTTGGTGTTGGGAGGGGGGCGTTGTGGAGATGACAGAACAGACATTCAGTAGTGTTGGATTTTCAGTTTCAGGTTTGCTCCTTGTGACTGCAGGCAGTAGGTATTGGTCCGTAAAAGTGTTAGTGGGACAAGTGAAGTGTGCTACTACTGTACTGTCATTATAAGTTGTTGCAGGCAGATCCCCAGAGTATCAGTGTTGTATGTGGGAATATAAACAGGCAGGAAGCTAATGTGGAGGCAGATTATATGACTGTTTCTGCATTTTGCATGGCTTGTGTAACAGGAGACGGTTCTTTCCACATAACTTCACACCTACAAAAAGGCCAGTCGCAATCTGTGCCTTTTTGAGAAAGATAGTTTCTGGCTTGAAATATTCCAATTAGGCTCCATGCTAAAACCCACATGATGAATGTGGCAGAGAGAGGCAGAGCTCAGAAATGCTGAATGTCTCAGAGACAGGAATCTCAGTCCTGAACTATTTATGTTCTCCTCTTTTCTTTCCTCTGTTCATGACAGAGTACTAATTCTTAGCTGGCTTCCATCTTTTCAACATAACAAAGGGCTGTTTTTTTAAAAAATCAGATGAATATACCAAGACAACATTTCTGCTTTTGCAAAACCTTCAGTGTTTTAAGGGTGGTTGGCTTGTATGGTTGTTTTAGCCTCAGTTTAGCCCCCACTGCCCAGGCACAATATGGTCACTATTCATGAGCTATATTTTTATGCCGAAGAGTTTTAAAAGATGTTTTCTTTTTAAATTTTTGAGCACCAAAACTAGATTGGTGAAAACTAAATCAATAATAGCAAATGGTTCCTTTAGCTTTTTATGAGTAATTAGCTAGCCCCCACTTAAGCCTGACATGGTGCCATTTCAGCATTGGGGTAAAGCAAAAAGATGCCCTTTGCCCTTTGCCTCTAGAGTCCCTGGTCTATATTTCAGAGAGCCGATAAGTCTGTGAATACTTGGTTCAGTCCAGAGTGAGCATTTTCACATTCTCTCTGAAAAATTGTTCTTTGTTCTTTAAGCTTCATGCATAAATCCGGTTGCTCAACTGAGTTTGGCTTTTCCCTTTGATTGTGGCGTAATTTTAACAATGCATTAAGTAAATGGGAATGTAGCTCTTTGTCAAATAGCTCATCTGTCAAAGAAGCAAGCATTAAAACAGTGTGTATGGCAGTTTACTCATTTGTCAAGCGTGCTGACAAATTAAGCATTTAAATATATGGATATTTAGCAATCTCCTGACACATAGACTCTTGCCATCTGTTGCGTAACAAAGGCAGCACCAAAAAAAAAAAAAGTACTGCAAACTCTGAAAACTCATTCCATTCTTACGTGATCCCAGTTTTGTTTGGAAGGATTTCTTTCTCTTCTTGTGAAACCTTACAATACAATAGTTCCTTTGTTGAAGATTTTCCACTTACACAATTATACATTAAGCCCATATAAACACCTCCTGTTATCACCTGTGCTGTACTTTCCGTAGGCAGTAGAGACAGGAACATAAAATCACCAAATAATCCTCTATATGAGAGGAATTCCATGTCAAGGAAACACAAGGTAAGGTTGAGTCTACTACAATTTATTATTTAGAAGAAAAATAAGGTAAAGACAGCCTTGAGTTGAGTTCAGTTCCTGGTAACTACATGGAGACAATTATGCAGTTTTCTTGGCACCAGTAGAGAAGCGTTTTGCCACTGTCTTCTTCTAAGATGCTTTTATTTTAAACTTTCCAGTCTAGGGTACAGCCCTGAGATTCCCTGCAGGTATTCCCTCCAAGTGCTAACTTGAGTTGATCCTGCCCAGAGAAGATCAGCCAGCTGCTGTCACCTGCTGTAGAGCCATGCCAAATGATACAAAACTTGGCAACCTTTTCCAGCCTCAGGCACCCTTCCACCCTGAATCACCTGATTCCCAATTTCCCTATATGTCATCAAATTCACCTGATCTTTCAAAAGATCTCATGCTAGAAGCTTGACATCTGAAGCAATCTTCCACAAACACTTGGTGTTCTTGAAGTGTTTGGTCACCTTTGAGATGTAAACACTTCTCGTATGCTTGCTTGTTTAGAATTTAATATCTGGGGCTTCCGGTCTATTTGATAGGGGCTATGTAACTGATCTTGTGGATACTTTTACTCTGAAAGGCATATACATCCTGAAATAATTAAATTAAATGTTGTATGTATGGATATAATATTGAAAATCGTTTGGAATTCAAACTGTATATTTTCAGCTACATTGCTTGTTCAACTCTCATCCTTACAAAGAGTTGTGTTGTATTAGGATCATTCATCTGGACAAGAAATGACAAATGTTCCTTTATAGTATCTCATCACATGCCCATACGGGTCTTATGGAAGGTCATAAACAGGCAATATCTCCAGTTCTACTTGTTGTTATAATTTATCCAGAGACTCAGGACAGGTAAAAACAAATGCATGCTCGCAACTTTTATTGTTCTCTTTCTGAAATATAGTACACGCTCTAAATGCTTAATTCACTCCTTCAATTTCTCACTCTCTCTCACACACACATACATCTATACATATCCAACTCAATGACTATCAAGTCTGGCTAGGTCTGAATTCCAGAATAATTCGTTAGTGTGGAATGGCTTCCCTATCATTGCCAAAAAAGTTACACTGCAGCATCCATGAAGTCATCAGAAGCCGAGCTTAACTTTAACCTGGCCTTTAGTGCTCCATTTTTATTTTAAGAATGTGCTTCAGTCTAAATGTGTATTGTTTGCTGGCTAGTGTCACTGCAACTTTGAAATGTCTACAGTTTCAGTGTCAGAAAGCCAATAATTACCTAAAGACAAGGTAACATAGGAAAAAATAATTTGCATTTCTTTGGGTGTTTTTCTGCCATCTTGTTATGTACTTTAGGCACTGAGCTGCAGAATACCCAGTGAGCAGCTTTTTCTAGAGAGCGTAAATTATTTAGGAGCATTTTTCTTCTGTTCTTGACTATGATTAACCCTTGAATATTTATAGGCATTACAGTATTAACATGAATAAAGGGCTTGTGATATCATAAAGGGTCTTAGTTTAATGGGTTTAATGAGGACTACATTTGGACTATTGCAGTCAAAAGCCTTGAATGTTTAGATTTGAAAATTATAACTTAATGTTGATTTTCTGTTACCATCTTAATGTTACATTTTAAATTCTGATGCTATGTTTTATTGTAACTCCTCAAGATGCCTTGACTGTCGGCAGCATACTCAGCTACTGTAGATAAATAAGCATTCCTTCTTGTCTTGTGGAAATTCTTAGAAATACAGTACATTATTAGTGGTTCATAGAGAATGGATCTTGGGGAAGAAGTACAAGACCTTTGGCTGAGGAGTCTTCTTTATGGAAAGTGCATTATGTTTTCACAAAGCAGAAGTTGGGTTTTTTTCCCCCTCCAGTGGTGCTATTTCAGCTTTGGAATGTCTTTCTCAAAGAGATACATGTTGTACCAACTTTCAGCACCTGTTTAAGACATTTTTATTTAGCTAGGTATTTTAATTTAAATAATTACTCTGTCTCCCTTGTAATTTGTCTGTGCATGTGTGTGCGTGTGTGTGTTGCATGTGCAAGCATGCTATTTTTGATGATGTTTGCTCAGTGTTTGGGAAAAAGCCAGTGGAGCCTATCCAACAATGAACAGCACCCGTGAAACAACTTCCACATTCACCCTGCAGTCCCAAAACTTTGCAGGGCTGAAGAAATTCTTGTGGAAATTTGTGAGGCAGTAAGGTCAGGAAAAAAAGCCAACCTCCTTTTCTTATTCAATCCATTCTTGTAGTTTGAGGTGTTGCTGTCATATTTTATTGCAATACGTTCCACTTTAACTAATTTACAATTTATGTTTTTGCACAATTCTTACTTGAGGAAAAGTGGTACAGGGATTTAATTATTAAGTACTGCTTGCTTCTAGTTCACCATGTTATCATCAACACCTAAAAGCAGAAAAGAACTGTATTAGGGAAAGTTCATGTTTTCATTTAGAAAGTCCCACCTTGCCAAGTAGGACTGATGAAGAGTCCTTGTCAGGAAGTGTGGAGACACTAATCAATCAGGGCTGAGCTGGGTGGTTGAACAATCTTCTAACACAAGGACTGCACTGATCGGCTTGGCATATGGCACCCAATGCTTGAGTCTTGGGCATGTGAGACAACCATGCTCATCTCCTGCTCAAAACAAAATATTGTGAAACTAGTTTTGTAATGTGTCTGATGGAGCTCCAGCACAGGGGATTTTCCACCGGTGAGAATTCCTGGATGCTGGCTTTTCCACCCTCCCTCCCATAGCCAGAATGTAATGGTGCCTCTTCACCATCCTCCTGTCCTAATTAAACTTATATCCTGAATACTTGCTAAAGTGGTAGTGGTGACAATGACGATGACGATGACAGCAACAAAAGTATTATTCCAGATATTAAGGACTGGATTCAGGAGATGTATAATCTATCCATTTTTGAAAATACATTTTTCCACTAATCAGAAAAATGATGCAATATGTTTCCCTTTGGCACAGCTTTCATGATATTTTACAACATTAAAGCATTGCTAATTTTTTTGCCTTTAAAATAGAATTTTAATATGTTTAACATATCATACATATATAATTTGCTTAGATTGCTTACAGTTTTCTTTTTTCTGTTTAGTTTGTTATTATTTATTAGTTGTTTCTTAGTGCTTTTTGTACTTTCTTTTTTCTCTATCTTCATGTATTCTATCTATCTATCTATCTATCTATCTATCTATCTATCTATCTATCTATCTCCATCCTTCTGTCCTCCCCAGCCATGAAGGACAGTTTTATTGGTCCACCTCAATGGCCAATTAGGTTCCTATTTTTTCCTTCAGTGCCAAAACATGGTGAAGGGAAAAAGAGCCTTGAGGGCTGGGGGCTGGTCAATAACTGGCAGCTATTTTTTGCACTTTTCCATTAGCTGCTGGAGGGAGTATTGGGTGGCTCTGTGGGAGAATGTAGGTGCACTAGGGACACTACTACAGTGGCGCAAACCTGCTTCCAAATTTTGAAGGGGGAGGCCAATGGCTGTGCAGAAGTGCTCTCAGTTCCCTTGATAGGCGTCCTACCCAGGTGGTGCTGAAGATAAGGTCATAGAGTGTAATTTCTAAGTGTCTTGGTCTCTTGAATGCCAAAGTGACAGCAGAGGGAGGGAAGAACTATGCCAAGTTACAGGGGAATCTTTGTTTCTAACTTTAGGCCCTTCTTCAGTTATCAGCAATGACGACGATTCAGCAAGTCCTCTTCATCACATCTCTAATGGAAGTAACACGCCATCTTCTTCTGAGGGTGGCCCAGATGCAGTAATTATTGGAATGACAAAGATTCCTGTAATTGAAAATCCTCAATATTTTGGAATTACGAATAGTCAACTCAAGCCTGACACATGTAAGTACAAATTTATATATATATATATATATATTTGTGTGTGTGTATGTATGTCTATAAATAAATAGGTGTCTCCCCAAGCATATATGATTTATGGCTGATTTCTTCCCCTTTCTGATATTGATTATGAATGCTAAATAACAAGCTATCCATACAACCATAAGCTTGTTTATTCAGATTACACACCATGGAGCTTAATAAGGCCTATTTTATTAAGTGTGGCTAAGATTGCCTCAAAGTTAACATTTTCAAATGGAATAAATCCAATACATTAATTCTAATTATCTTTTATTTCTTTGGCCAGATGTTTAATACATGTTGACCTCTAAAGTTTAAAATGTGTTTTTTGCATGAATGTAACTGCAAATTTAGTAGGTGAAGTAAGATTTAGTGGTTGTTAAATCTGCTGAACAATGAAGGTCAAATTGGGACCAAACTGTGATACATGTTTCAGATGACATCAGAGATATTTGAGTGGATAAAAAGAATAGTTGACTGCATAGACTTTGAGGTAAAGCCACTAGCAGACGTACACACATTTCTATCACCTAATCCCTTTGGGGGATGAGCAGTAAGAAATTGTGAGCCAAGGAAATTAATGGCATAAGATAAGAAAATAAATAAAATATTGCTAGTTTACATCAGCAGCATTCTCAATACATTTCAATACCTTCCTTCCTTGAAAATCATCCTTGCTTCCACCACATCCATGCACTGAATCATACATTGATTTTTCTTCTTTAAAATTCTTACCTCTCTCTTTTTGAGGATTTCATCAACTCCATCTGACCACAACTCCCTTCCCTTCCCTTCCCTTCCCTTCCCTTCCCTTCCCTTCCCTTCCCTTCTTTCCCCCAACCCTTCTTCCTTCATCCATATTTGTTTTGCTGTTCAGTCCTCATACATGGCATACAACCTCTTTCTTTTGCGATGGTCATTCACTTTTGGACTGAATGCACACTCCTTCAGCAGCCCTGACCCTATTCCTCCTTTAGCACATACCCTTCTTTAGGACCCCATTACCCTGTGTTCTTATGTTTTTCCTAACACACTCTTACTTCTATATAACTAAGTGGGCAAAATCACTTTCTTTCATGTAGTGATTTTCACTTATTTTGACAAACATTCTTCCCTTACAATACACCACATCGTGGGCAAAATCACTTTCTTTCATGTAGTGATTTTCACTTATTTTGACAAACATTCTTCCCTTACAATACACCACATCCTACCTTTCCACCAGCATTTCCATGTCTTAAAATTTTCCATCTCATCTTTAGTGAACTTGCTCAGGTTTTTGCCATTTATCTTTAACTTACAACCCTTCACTCCATTTTCTCTGACCAACTATGATGGTCTCTGACTTAAGCATGTTCAGATCCATCCCAAAGTCTAACATTGAGAATATCAACCAACAATATTGCATCATCTGCATACATAAGTACACAAATATTCACATCCCCAGTGAACACACCTCTACCATCACTGCAAGCATTTCTTAAACATTTACCCATAAATACATTTGAAATGCATTTAAATGACCAAGAGGACATCATATATCCTTGTCTTAACCCTTACTCAGTGCTGCATGTTTGCTAAGCATGCCATTTATTTTCACACATCCTTTACTTCCATCATACAATGCCCTTAGTGCATTAGGAACTAACCCTCAACTCCACATTTGCACATTCCATAATTTAAGCTTACATATTTTTATCACACACATTCTCTAAATCAACAAATGTACAAGGCTTCTCATGTCTATATGGTTCACCATCACCTGCTGAACAGAAGAATCTTTTCAGCATAAAGTGAACTGCGTTTCCCAAATTTTGCTCACTCTCACCTCTATGGCCAGAATTCTGCCAAACACACTTACAGGCAAACTGGGCAAGGTGACAAACTAATCCCCCTCTAATTTTGGCATTTCCACATGTTCCCTTACTTGTTGTACAGGAGACAAGTAACAGCATTCTTTCAGTTGTCAGGCACAGATGCAACCTTCATGCACACTTGAAACAAGTTACACTGCCATTCCATAAGCAAACCACATCCATATTTTAATGTTTTCTACCTTCACTTGCAGCCTTATCATTTTTCAATATTTTCACAGCATTGATGCCTTCCTTCT